GACCTGTTCAATTTCTTCTTTTGTGATGGGCCTGTTCAACTTTTCCACATCAATCTGTGTTAGTTTAGGTAAGTGCTGTGTTTCTAGAAATCTGTACATTTCTTCCAGATTTTCAAATTTGTTGGAATACAGTTCTTCATAGTATCCTGATATTATCCTTTTGATTTCAGTTGGTTCTATTGTTATGTCACCCATTTAGTTTCTTATTCATGTTACCAAATATATCATGTTGTTTTGTAATTCCAAGTCTTTTCACAGACTGTTCCCTCTACCTGGTATATTGTTCTTGCAAACTGCTAATTTGTACAAATTTGGAGTCATCTTCCCTGGACTCATCTGATTTAGGTATCTCTCCTCAGTGTTCCCATGGCACTCTTACAGGGCTCCTCCTTGTCCATCACCTCTCGCATCTACTTGCTTGCAGTTTCTTGACTTTCTTGTTCCTCCTCTGTTTCTTCCTTTAGTCCTCTTCTTTTGCTCATCCCTCAAATGCTGGTGTTCCCCAGGGTTTAGACCTGGACCTTTTTATTTTCTTCTTCTAAGGAGGAAGGAAGATGGGGCAATCTACTTCCATAGTGATACTGCCTCGGAAACCCAAGGAGGGGTCGTTATGAGTTGGGTCGACTTGATGGCACATAACAACAACAACAACAAGGAGCTCTGGTAGCAAAGTGCCTAAGTCACTTGACTGCTAACCAGAAGGCTGGCTTCATACCCACCAGTCACTCCTTGGAAGGGAAGTTGGGCAATCTACTTCCATAGTGATACTGCCTCGGAAGCCCAAGGAGGGGTCGCTATGAGTTGGGTCCGACTCGACGGCACATAACAACAACAACAACACTTGTATGCTTGTGATGCTCCAATCCATATACCTACCCTAGCCTTTTCTCCTGACCTCTAGACCCATAATTCCAAGTGTCCAGGGACATTCCCGTTTGGGTGTCCCACAAGCTTCACTATACATCATAATGATGTAAAGAACTGAAAACATCACCTTGTCCTACTCCCAAAATAGGTCTTCCCTGAGTTTGCTTGTTCCATAGATGGCATCACCATCCACCATCAGCCAAGCTTGAATGTTGAGAGTCATTCCACATTATTCTCTTCCCTTCATCACTCTGCCTGCCCTCTGAATTCCCAATTCATTAACCAAGACAAAATAATTTTGCCTTTTAATTATCTCTTAAATCTCCCCCATCCCCCTCCTCCTTAGCACAAAGCTTTGCTTTAGCCCTCATTATTCGTCTTCTGCTAACTATAGTTGCACCCTAACTGGTCTCTCTACAGAGTCTTATGCCTCTCAAAACCATTCTCTATGCTGCAGTCAGAGGGATAATTCTAAGTAGCAAATCTGATCATGTCAATGTTCTGCTTTAAAATTGTTCAGTGATTCTCCAAAGCCTTCAAGTTCTTTAGCATTGCACACAATCCTCTCACAATCAGGCCTCTGCTTCTCTGAACAGTTTCATCTTTCAAGATTCTTCCACATGGAAACATTTCTTGTCCCTTAGATGTGTTATATATTCTCTCTGCTCCATACCACTGTCCTCATACTTTCCCCTAATGAGAATTCAACACCCCACTTATTTGTCTCTTCACTCCTTCTTGTCCTTTTAGACTCTTCACTCTTTCTTGTCCTTCAGCTCAAGTATTAATTATCTCCTTGGGGAGCCTTCCTTAACCATCACCTCCCAAGACTCTCTTAGCTGCTGCTCCTAAGTTCTCCTGCAAAAAATCATCATGTTGTTTATCATTTGTTTATTCATCTCTCTCCTCGGCTAGGCAGTGAGGTCTTTCGGGGCATGGAACAAATATTTATCTTTGTATTCCCAGTACTTGAAATAAAATCCAGTATCCAGTACCCCATTGCCATATGACTTATAGTGACCCTGTAGGACAGTAGAACTGCCTTAGAGAGTTTCCAAGGATGTATATCTTTATGGAAGCAGACTGCCACATCTTTATCCTTCAGAGAACCTGGTGAGTTTGAACCTCTAACCTTTTGGTTAGTAGCCAAGCACATAACCACTGCACCACCAGGGCTCCTTCAATATATAGTAGATACCCAATAAATGTTTGGTGAAAGAATGAACAATGGTATAGGTTATATGAAACTCTTATGTCCTACCCCTGATAAGGCTGAATTATACCTTCCTTGAGTGTTGAAGGAATCCCTGGGTGGTGCAAATGGTTAATGCACTCAGCTGCTAACCAAAAGTTTGGAGGTTCAAGTACACTTAGAAGTGCCTTTGAAGAAAGGCCAAGTGATCTACTTTTTAAAAATCAGCCACTGAAGACCCTGTGGAGAACAGTTCTACTGTGACACATATGGAGTAGCCAAGAGTCAATCAACTCAGTGGCAACTGGTTTGGTTTTGGTTTTGAGTGTTGAAAGGCTCAGGGACAATATCACTATCCCCAACACCCTTAATCTTCAACCTTCATCATTCCCTGGGATGGAGAAGAACTAGCTCTCATCTGGATGAAGAAGAGATTTCCTACTCTCCAAACTTCTCTGTCTGCTTGGAATGCCAAATTATTCTTGGCCCTGACTTCTCCCTTGAACATTAGAATCACATATACAACTACTGGACATTTCCTCTTTGATGCCTAATATACATCTTCAAAATTCTTGATTTTGACAGGGAAACACATTTTCACTTTTTCACTTTGGTTTTACTACAAAACCATGTGTGATAACATCTCACGTAGATGCAACATACGTCTTCAAAATTCTTGATTTTTTTTTCCCCTCAAACATTCTCTTCCTGCAGTTTTCATCATCTCAAAAAAAGGGCAATGCTATCCAACCAGTTGCTCAAATCCCTGGAATCATTGTTGCCCTATTTCTCATACTCCGTATCTGACTCAGCACTTCTTATTGGTTTCCCAGTTGAAACATATGCAGAATCCAACCACTTCTTAACACCACAGTGATCACCCTAGTCCAAGCCACCACCACTCTCAGCCTGATTATTGTCATTCTCCTAGCCAGACTCTCCACTTCCACAGACTTTCCACACTGCAGCCAAGGTAGCCAGATTATATTTCTTTGCTCAGAGCTCCCCCGTGGCTTCTCACTTCTCTCAAACTCAAAGCCCAGGTCCTTTCAATGGTCTTTATGATTTAGAGGGGTAGTCTGGTCCCTGTTACTTCTCTGACTTCATCTCCTACTTCTCTCTCCCTTCCTCCACTCTGTCCCAGTTACACTTGCTCCTTTGCTATTCATCAAACATGTCAGGTCTTTTCACTCAACTACTGACCTTTGGTTAACAGCCAAATGCCTTACCCACAGCACCACCAGAGCCCCTTTCCCTTAGATATCCACATATTTAATTTTCTTACAACATTTAGATCTCTGCTCAAGTATTACCTTATCAGAGAGGTCCTCTCTGACCCCCCTATTTAAAAAGTATCTCCTCACCATCATTTTCTATCCTCTCATGCTTCTTTAATCATCTTTATATCATAGTCATTCCTTGGATTATGAACAAATTCCATTCCTGTCTATCTGTAAGATGAATTTATACATAAGTCAGCACAGTTAGGTACAGTTTGTATCTAATGTCAGTTAGTCAAATGTTTTCTTAATATATATTGTACCTTTTAATGCATAAAATATTAAAGAAACAGATACACTGAAATATTTTTAACATAATAATAGAGTAATAATGGTTTTAATAAATTTTTTATTGTGATTTGGGTGAAAGTTTACAGAGCAAACTGGTTTTCCATTCAACAATTTATACACATTTTGTTTTGTGATATTCATTGCAATCCCCACAATGTAACAGCACTCTTCCTGCTTCCCCCCTCTTTCTACCATTTCCGTTCATCCTTCTTTCCTATCCTTTTCTGACTCCTGAGGTTTATCCCTGGGAAAATGCTGCCCTTTTGATCTCGTATGGTTGATTGATTGTTCTAAGGAGTGTGTACTTTCCTGGTGTTATTGTTCACCTTATAGGCCTATCATTTGCCTGGGAGCTCTGGTAGCGTAGTGCTTAAGGCACTTGACTGCTAACCAGAGGGCTGGTGGTTCAAACTCACCAGCCACTCCTCAAAAGGAAGGTTGGGTGATCTACTTCCATAGTGATGCTGCCTAGGAAACCCAAGAAGGGGTCACTTAGAGTCAGGTCTGACTCAATGGCACATAACAACAACATTGTTTGCCTGAAAGTTGAGCCACCTGGCTTGAAGGATGTCTAAGGGCCAAAGTCTTGGGGATTCCACCAGTCTCTATTAGATCAGTAATGCTGGTCTTTATGATTCTCAGTTTTGTTCCACATTTTTTTCCTACTCTCCCCAAGTCTTCCTATAGTGACCCTTTCAGAGCAGTCAGCAGTGGTAGCTGGGCACCATCTAGTTCTTCTGGTCTCAGAATCATGAAGGTTGGGGGTCACATGATCCATAAGTCCTTTGAACCAATTTTTTCCCTCAGCTTTGATTTTCTTCACTCTTCTTTGCTTCTCATGGGAAGAAACCAATAGTTGTGCCTTAGATGGCTACTCATTCACAATAGTAATAATGTTTTGATGTGCTTCTCAAAGTCATGCCTTTTTGTTATACAAACCTTTGTATATACCTCAAATTTTTAATATAATAGGCTTTATGAGGGTTGGTTTGTAACTATGAGTTGTACATAATGGTTGTATGTAAGTAAGACATTCATAAGTTGGGGACTGTCTGTATATATATTTATATTTTTATATACAGTCTTCATTTGCTTATCAATTAGCTGCATGCCTCCCTCAGCTCTCCAGCCAGTCTTCCTTCAATGGAGAAGACACTTTACCCCCAGGCACTGCTTCCCCATATGTTTGGTAGGCAAGCAGGCTCCTGGCCACTCACCAGCCGGGAATTGTAGATGGGTGATTTGATGGGTGTGGCCACAGGGCAGTTAATTCGCTTCTCCTTTTGGCGACGGTTGCAGAACCAGACCCTCACCACCTCCTTCTCCATGGACAACTGCTCTGCAATCATGGAGATCTCCTCAGAGCTGGGTTTGGGATTCTACAGGGAGAGAAAAACCAGAGTATGGTCAGGGAGGTGAAAGGTCCAGGAGTAGAGGTAGGGGACTGATGTTTCAAGGAAGTAGGATATAACAATAGTCAGATGAAAGGCTCTAGAGTCAGATAGACCTAGGACGGAATCCTGGCTTTGTCAGCTACTTACTGTGTGTCCTTAGGAAACTTTCTTAATCTCTCTGAGTCTCAGTTTTATCATCCATGAAATGGGAATAATAATGCCTACCATGTAGGTCTGTTGGGAGGATTAAATGAGAAAATGTGTATAAACTGGCAAAAATAGTGCCTGCAATACAGCAGAGGCTACATAAAAGCAGATTCTCTTCTTGCACACCTTCCTGCAGAAGCAGTTCTGAAGAGTGGGGTCCACTGATGAATTATGTTGGCAGGCAGAATCCCCAGAAGCCATACTCCCATCTGTGTTCTTTCTTCATAACCTGGTATCCTTCTTTACCATTTCTTCCAATCCTCCTCCATCAAAATAGGAGGTGATAAATCTAAAACATGTGGTCCCAAGACTGTAGGAGATATATATAGGACATAAAGGTGTCACTCCTTTGTTCTGGCCCCTACCTCTCTCCTATGAAAAACAACAAAACCAAACTCACTGCCATCGAATTGATTCCAACTCATAGCGACCCTCATTGGGTTTCCAAGGCTGTAAGACTTTATGGAAGTAGATAGTCCCATTTGCCTTCTGTAGAGCAGCTGGTGGGTTTGAACCACTGACCTTCTGGTTAGCAGCCAAATTCCTTATCCACTACACCACCAGAGCTCATTACCTTCCCCTTAATCCTGCTCTTCTAAGAAACCTAATCAGAAGGAAAAGCCATCTCCTATCAGCCTGATATCGAATGTAGCTACCAAATTCTTCAGCCAGGTGCACTAAAAGACCTGCTCTAGTGGCTGCAATCCTGGAGGCCTGGGGCCTGAAAGATTGGACTAGGCCATGGGCCATTCCTTTAGGGGCCTGTGTGATGAGGATAGAAGCTCTGGAGGCAGGTACCTAAGGGATTCTGACTAGAAGTTGTTTAGACTATACCTGTTTTCCCCTCTCCCCAACCGCCAACTCCCACAGGGCTCATAAGTGGTATTATTAGCTTACATATATTAGTTCAAGAATATGCTGTTGCTAAAAGTTAAAAAAAAAAAAAAAAAAAAAGCGCATGTTCAATAGGATTACAAGTATTTAAATGTGCATGGAAGAAAGGAAGAAAAGGAAAAACATAGCTCTGGTAGCATAGTGCCTAAGCACTTGACTGCTAACCAAGAGGCTGGCGGTTCAAACCCACCAGCCACTCCTTGGAAGGAAGATTGGGCAATCTACTTCCATAGTGATACTGCCTTGGCAACCCAAGGAGGGGTTGCTATGAGTCGAGTCCGACTCGATGGCACCTAACAACAACAACAGTACACTAGGACTTCTGGTGGCATAGTGGTTAAAGCATTCAGCTGCTAACTGAATGGTCATCAGTTTGAATCCACTAGCCACTTCTTAGGCGAAAGATGAGGCAGTCTGTTTCCATGAAGATTTGTTGCTGTTGTTGTTAGGTGCTGTTGAGTCAGCTCCGACTCACAGCGACCCCTATGTACAACAGAATGAAACATTGTCTGGTCCTTTGCCAGCCTCATAATCTTTGCTACACCTGAGCCTGTTGTTGCAGCCACTGTGTCAGTCCATCTTATTGAGGGCTTTCCCCTTTTTTGTTGACCCTCCACTTTATCAAGAATGATATCCTTCTCCAGGGAGTGGCCCCTTCTGACAACATGACTAAAATCTCACTACCTTTGGTCCCAACTCATAGTGACCCCTCGTAGGTGAGACAAAGTCTGGCCATTCTCACATCTTTGCCAACACCACAACTCAAAAGTATCAACTCTTCTTTGGTCTTCCTTATTCATTGTCCAGCTTTCACATGCATATGAGGTGATTGAAAATATAATGGCTTGGGTTAGGCACACCTTGGGCTTCCAAGAGATATCTCTGCTCTTCAGCACTTTAAACAGGTCTTTTGCAGCAGATTTGCCCAGTGCAATATGTCATCTGATGTCTTGACTGCTGCTTCCATTGGTGTTGATTGTGAAACCACATAATGTGAAATCTTTGACAGCTTCAATCTTTTCTCCATTTATCATGGTGCTGCTTATTGGTCCAGTTGTGAGGATTTTTTTGTTTTCTTTATGTTGAGATGTAATCCATACAGCAGACTACAGTCTTTAATCTTCACCAATAAGTGCTTCAAGTCATCTTCACTTTCAGCAAGCAAAGTTGTGTCGTCTGCATATTGCAGGTTGTTAATGAGTCTTCCTCCAATCCTGATGCCACACTCTTCTTCATATAGTTCAGCTTCTCAGATTAGTTGCTCAGCATACACATTGAATAATATGGTGAAAGGATACAACCCTGACACCCTACCTTCATGATTTTAAACCATGCAGTATCCCTTTGTTCTGTTTGAACAACAGCCTTCTGTTCTATGTACAGGTTCCTGATGAGCACAATCAAGTGTTCTGGAATTACCATTCTTCTCAACGTTATCCATAATTTGTTATGATCTACATAATTGAATGCTTTTGCATAGTCAATAAAACACAAGTAAACATCTTTCTGGTATTCTTTACTTTCAGCCATGGTCCATCTGACATCAACAATGATGTCCCTTGTTCCACGTCCTCTTCTGAATCCAGCTTGCATTTCTGGATGCTCTCTATCAATATACTGCTGCAACCATCTTAGAATTATCTTTACCAAGATTTTACTTGTGTGTGATACTGTTTGATAATTTCCACGTTCTGTGGGATCACCTTTCTTTGAAATGGGTACAAATATGGATCTCTTCCAGTCAGGTGGCCAGGTAGCTGTCTTCTAAATTTCTTGGCATAGATGCGTGAGTGCCTCTAACATAACATTCGTTTGTTGAAACATCTCAACGAGTATTCTGTCAATTCCTGGAGGCTTGTTCTTCACCATTTCCTTCAGCACAGCTTAAACTTCTTTCTTCAATACCATTGGTTCTTGATCATGTGCCACCTTCTGAAATGGATGAACATTGACCAGTTCTTTTTAGTACGGTGACTCTGTGTATCCCTTCCATCTTCTTTGATGTTTCCTGCATTATTCAATATTTTGCCCATAGAATCTTTCAATATTGCAATTCGAATCTTGAATTTTTTCCTCAGTTCTTTCAGCTTGAGAAATGCCAAGCGTGTTCTTTCCTTTTGGTCTTCTAACTCCAGGTCTTTGCACATTTCATTATAATAATTGACTTTGTCTTCTCGAGCTGCTCTTTGAAATCTTCTTTCAACTCTTTTTTCTTGTCATTTCTTCCATTTGCTTCAGCTACTCTCCATTCAAGAACAATTTTCAGAGTCCCTTCTGCCATCTATTTTGGTCTTTTCTTCCTTTTCCTTTCCTCTGTCTTTTTAATGGCCTTTTGCTTTCTTCATGGATGATGTTTTTTGGTTTTTTTTTTTTTTTTTAATTTTTGTGATTTGGGTGAAAGTTTACAGAGCAAATTCATCTTCCATACAGCAGTTGACACACATTCTGTTTCATGACATTGATTGCAATATCCCACAGTGCAACAGCTTTCATCCCACTTCCTCCCCACAGCCACCTCCTCCCTGTGTCTTTCCCTCCCATGCACTCCTGCCCCCAGAGCTGTCTCCCTGTGCATACATTGTCCTTCTATTCTCCCATGATTGATCTCTCCAAGGAGTGTATCTACCTAATGTAAATGTTCACCTCATATGCCTGTCTTTTGTTTGGCTGGAAGCCACAGGAGTGGGTTCAATTCCAGACCTGAAGGGCAGCTAGGGGCCATAGTCTCAG